GGGCACTGTTTTTAATTTGCGTGCCAGCCGAATTGCCCCCCGAAAATGCCTCCAATCTCACCGAAACCGCGAAGCTTAGTTTCATAGTTTCATAGTTTATTTAAATGTTGGTATAGCCCTGTGAGCCATTCGGCTCTTGAATCGGGTGCAACCTCAACAAACAAAAAACATGAACAAGAAAAGATCTTAAAGTGATTATGTGTGACTGTGCAAACAGAAAATCCAGGAAAAAAACATCAAAATATTCCTGAAATAGCACCGTACACCAACGCTGTGTGCAAAAATCCCTGGAGGATGCAAGTCAAACAACAACAACAACAACCACAAGACAACTAAGATTAAGGCCATCAGTCTAACTCCGTACTACAATAAACAAAAACATGGCCAAAAACAAAAAAAAAAGTTTTCGAAATCACTAAAATAAAAGCCATAAATGCAATGCAACAGTGATCATAGGGACTGTGACCGAATTTTTAACAATAAACTACGTAAATAAATTATAACACCAAAATCTAGAGCCATATTTTAGGCCACTGAATAGCAGTGGCAGCTAGGGCTGTACAACTCCTCTAGAGCAGTTTTGAGCGAAGATCTCATAGGTAGCGATTCAAGTTGCAGTTTATTGGCAATAGCATTCCAGACCCTGGGGGCATCAATAGCAAAAGGCCCTTCCTCCGGTTTTTGTACGGCAATAGGGAATGTGAAGCTGGTAAATGAGCGAAGATCCTGAGGTCAAATTTGTTCTTTGAAGCTGAGCGGTGTTGTGCCCGTTGCCGGGCACTTGGATGGGTGGCCACCACCACGGCATGCCAGTTGTTGTGGGCGTCTGACAGATACGCGGCGCCAAGGACAAAGATCCCCACAGGATATTCGTCGCTGGCGTTGGCCATGTTCGGGATTCGAACTCGGTGTGGCCGTGCCTGCGGTGCGGCGCGTTGACCACTGCGTGATTTTTTTGTTATTTTATCTTTACCTACGTGACTTTGCCGAGTAGAACCAAAGAGTACGGATCCTTGCAGTCACGAAAGCTTCAAATCTAGAACTGCCCCTGTCGCCCAAACAGACATGCGGCCAGGCATATTGCTGGCCACCCACCCCCTCGTGTGCCTTTCCCCGGCCTTCATAGGTTGTGCTCGCTAACAGAACTTGCCCCTACAGTCTGTTAAGGCTACACGGGGGAATCTTTGGCTGTATCTGCACTACAAAAAGATAATAATAATAATAAAAAAAGCATTCACCGTGTAGCCTTTACAGACTATCGGGGCAAGCGCTGTCAGCGAGCACCTCCATGTAGGCCGGCACGTCACGAGTCGATGGGTGTCCAGCACCACGCCCGTCCCCCTTCGTCTCCACCCGGCTCTTGGCGTTCGCACAACCCCCCCCCCCCCCCCCCGTCGCCTGTCAGTCAATTAGTGGGGGTATTGTCTGTGCCTTCGTGGTTATGCATCGGACGCGTCTGTGCATGCGCGAGCCGCGTGTGTGTGACGCGCAGCGGTTAACGCGCTGCGCTTGCGAAACCTGGCCACCCGAGTTCGGTCCCCGCTCACGGCCAACACCGGTGACAATTATCCGAAGCGGTGCCGGGGCCGTTTCCTCGGTCGATTCGGCCTCAAACGGGTACCTGGTGCAGCGTGTAAAACATTGCCACCGGGGGGAGACAAAGGCGGCCGGGCGCGGTGCTAACCACCTCGCCCCCTCGTGTGTCAGGGCTACACGGGGGATCTTTGTCTTTGCCCGTGTGATTAAGCCGCTTAACGTGCGGTGCCAGCACTTTGCGGAGCCGATTCACAGCCCAATTCTGTCCAATTAAAAACTACGAAAGAGCATGGCGTTTGAGGAGCGAATAGTTTGCACGTGTTATATAGCTTTTCCAACACTCAACTTTCTCACCGCTTGTGCGCTACTTGGGAATTCGTTCAAATGTTTCTCTCCCGAAGTGCGTGCCGGGGAAAAGAAAAACTGTGCAAAGAGCGATCCCGTTTTACTCGCTCTTTTGCGCTTAATGGGCCCCGACTCCACACCGACGCGTCTAAGGGGGAGTGGTGGGTGTCTCACGCGATGCCCTGCCTGGCTTGAGTGACCTCCCCGTGCCCTCACTAGGAGGTGAGGATTGAGACCCAAGGCATTGACTCAATAACTCGCCTCCCTCGATGTGCCGTGCCGGCCTTCATAGGCGCTCGCTAACAGCACTCGGCCCCGTCAGTCTGTTTGGACCCTAGGGGGCTCTCTGTCTTGCCCGAGTCTTATCGTTGTTAAACGCACGTCGCCCGAACAGAGTTTTTTATTGGCTCTTGTTTTCAGCGCGTGCGGGCAGCCGAAGCGCCCAAAATGCGACCAATCTCACCGGAACTGCGAAGCTAAGCGGGGCCTTGAGCCCTGGTCAGTACTTTGGTGGGTGACCACCAAATGCTTTTTGGGAGGAACGCGCTCGTTTTGTTTATGGGCTCCACGGTGGCTAGGAGATGTTAACAACCTTGCCCGGCGTACATGAAGTCGCTGGTTAGATCCCGACCCTGACACTTGCTGTGTATTTAGAGTCTGCGTTTCTCTTTTTCTCATCATCGTCACCTTGGCCAGGAGATGTTAACTACCTCGCCAGGTATGCAGGAGGTCTTGGGTTCGATCCCGACCCTGACGCCTGCTGCTGTATATTTGGAGTCTGCGTGTCTCTCTCTCTCTCCCCCTGTGGTCGTGTGGATTTTTCTCCGGGTCCTCCGGTTTTCCCCTCCACATTTCGGTAGAAAATTATGCCGTGAAAAAAAAATAACACGAATGCTTCAGCGCGTGACTTCATTATGGGGCCCTGCGGTGGCTAGGAGATGTTAACTACCTCGCCTGGTGTACAGGAAGTCATCGGTTTGATCCCGGCCCTGATACCTGCTGTACATTTGGAGTTTGCGTGTCTCTCTCTCGCTCTCTCTCTCTCTCTCCACGTGGTCGCGTGGATATTTCTCGGGGCCCTTCCGATTCTGCCCCTCCACGGTTAGAATGAGCGTCACGCGTTTGGAGTCTTCGGCTGCTGCTTGACGTTTCCACGTGAGCATGATGATGATGATGATGAGCCACGACCTCGAGCTATCATTTCTGGTGGCCACGGTCGCTCCTGAAAGAGAGCAGCGACACCTTGATGGTCCCTGACTTGGTAAAATTTAAATAGCGTCGTGCGGATCACGAATTTTTACGGCGGGCATGTTTTGCAAAGTGGATTACCCTGATTGTTTTTTTTCCGTTGTCGTTGGTAAAATTAGGTTTCTCTCGGCGCGGACTGGCGGCGGTGTTTATTGTAACAAGAGTGTCGGCTTTGTTTCTTGGACGCCCTTTAAATCCCCCTCGCTGAGCCATGCGGGACCGTGTCGGTGCGTCATGCAATGTAAATATTTTAGTTTATTGCCTTTTGGTTAATTCAGATTAAGTGTTAATGAGATTTAAGAAGTGCCACGTGTTCCGCCTGAATGTAATTCGGACGTAGTAATTGCGTTAATTTTATTACGCATTATTCTCGACTCCCACCCCCCACCCCCCCCCAAATCCGCGCGCCGCCCCCCCCCCCCCCCCACCACCACCCGCTTCACCCGACCTCCACTGCCGGGTCCCTCTCGCCAAATTGGTCGCCTGCCGCCCGTTGGTTCCGCACCGGGAGCGGATGTCGACCGGCGGCAGCGCGGCCCGCCGTTTGGCACGCCGTTTGGCCCGTGATGAAGCCAAATCTCGGACCAGGTGACGGGAGGGGAGAGGTGGGGGGGGGTCAGATCCGGCCAACGGGGGATGGACTTTGTCCGTCGCCGGAGTTTGGGAGCCGGCCGGCGGGCGCAGCTGCCGCCGCGAAACCCGGGCGACCCGGGGTCGATTCCCGCTCTCCGGCCACCGACAGCAGTCGAGCTTTTCCGAACCGGTTCCCGGGGCCCGCCCCTAGGTCGACTCGGCCTCGAGCGAGAACCCGCTGCGGTGTGTGGTGAACATCACCAATTGGGGGGGGGGGGGGAGACGGAGGCGGCCGGGCGTGCTGATGGTCGCCCCACCGCCTCGTGTGCCGCAGTGCCGGCCTTAACAGGTGCTGCTCGCTAACAGCGCTTGCCCCAACAGTCTGGCACAGGCTAACACTGGGATCTTTTTAAATAATTTTAAAATCTTTTTTTAAAAAATCTTTTCTTAATGTTAGTTTTTATTTTATTTTTCTCGTGCAGATACAGGCAGATATTCCCCCGTGTAGCCTTAGCAGACTGTCGGGGCAAGTGCTGTTAGCGAGCAGCGCCTATTAAGGCCGGGCACGGCACACGAGGGGCCGGGTGGCCAGCATCGCGCCCGGCCACCTTTGTCTCCCCTAGAATCGATGTTTACCACGGCACCGCGTAGGTTTACTCAGCCTCAAATGAGTACCTGTGTGCGGTGTGTAAAAACATCGGCAATAGGGGAGACAAAGGCGGTCGGGCGTGATGCTGGCCGCCCACCTCCTCGTGCGCCGTGCCGACCTTCATTGGTGCTGCTCGCTAACAGCCCTTGCCCCAACAGTCTGTCACAGGCTATGCGGGGGATCTTTGTCTTTGTTCTCACAACAGCTAGCTGAGTGCCGGGCGGCTAAATCGCAGCAGGTTGGCACGGCAGGGGTCACAGGTGGTGCAATCAGCCATTCACCTCAGTCAGTCAACCCAGGCCACCTGCGTCTGCCCCGTGATCTCCTGCCAGCAGAGAGCCTTCGACACTCCACGTGGCCTCAAAGCGCACGTAGCCCTTGCACGAGCGCCACTAAGTGACGTCACCGTCACTTAGTGGCGAATGGCGGTTGTTGTTGTTGTTGTTGTTGCTGCTGCTGCTTGCTCGCTCACCAAGTTTGTTGAAGGCTGAGTAGGGGATCTCTGTCTTTCGTGCTTGGTGGAACCCTTACACCACCTCGTATTTCCTTCCCCCACTGCCCCGCGTCCCGTGCCTCGTTCACCCAACACGCCTCAGCCTTGCCCTGCTGTGTGTCCCACCCCCCCCTCCACCCCTCACCGTCCCTGCAGGCTGAATACACCCCCGGGGAGCAAGGTGTGCCTCAATGGTTCGATCCAGGTCGTCAATGGCTTCATGCTGCTGGAAGAGTCCAACGTCCGCCTGCTGGGGGGGGTCGTCGAGCACCTGGTGGAGAAGTGGCAGCTCCAGCAGGTGAGGTCCCCCCCCACCACCCCTGCCTCTTACCGCTAAGCTATTCAACTATCTTCTTTGGTTCTTTCGGTAAAGTCACTCCAAAGCCACTCCAGCGGTGTCCTACCAGACAGTCTCGTCCCTTCACCTGATGAAGGCCGCTTGTGTTGTGGCCGAAACGTCGTGAGAATATTATTGTGTTATTTTATTTTATCAATTTATTATTTTATTCTCATTCTACGTGACTTTACCGAAAGAACCAAAGAAGATGAATCATTGCAGTCACGAAAGCTTTAAATCGAAATTCTATTCAACTATGTTTTATTTGACCAGGTAAGGCCCCACCAGGCAGCTATGGAAGCCCTTTAACAGAAGCCACCCGGCACGAGCACAACTGACAGCCCAACAAAGTGGCTTATCATCATCACGTGGAAATCTGTCGCAGGCAAATGCTCTGAACGCGTGACGTCGATTCTACATGCGGACGAAAAATGCACCGCAGGACCCGGGGAGAAATCCACGTGACCACATGCCACGTGAGGCCTTAATATCCAGGGCATCCTGGTGCACTTGAGCCCACTGCTCAGCTTCAAGGCTCAAATCTCGTCTGCACGTTGGTGAGATGTTAACTACCCCGCCTGGTACACAGGAGGCCGTAGGTTCGATCCCGACCTTGACGCCTGCTGCTGCTGTATATTTGGAGTCTGCGTGTCTTTCTCTCAACGTGGTCGCGTGGATTTTTCTCCGGGACGTCCGGGTTTTCCACTCCACAATTAGAATCAACGTCACAACGCGTTTAGAGTATTTGGCTGCTGTACATTTCCACGTGATGATGATGATGATGAGCCACTTCGTTGAGCTATCATGTGTGGCCGCGTCGATTCTGAAAAAGAGCTGTACAGCTCAGTGAGCCTTACCTGCTAAAATAAAAAAAAGTAAAAATGGTTTCAGTGAATGTCATCACGGTGTTTGTTTGCCACTGCTAAGTGTGGGTTGGCGAAGGTTGTAAGGTAGGTTTGGACCCAGGAATCAATCGAATACCGCTTGCCACTCATGTTAGCCGTGGCCAGGAATCTAACTCGGGTGGCCAGGTTCATAGCGACAGTGCACTCGATGATTTGGCTCCGAATATAAATTCCCTAATATCGGGTATCAGCCACGACGATGAGCTATCGCGTGTGGCCAGTCTCGCCTGTGACAAAGAGCTAATAGCACGGCGAGCCTTTGCTTGGCGAATATAATAATACATTAAAAAAAACCCTTCTACGTGACTTTACCCGAAAGAACCAAGAATATGATAAAAACGGTTTAGTTCATTTTGAGCACGGGCCGCCAGGGAAAGCGTAGCTCAAGTCGAAGTGCAGTGCTCTCATCCTCCGTGAGCGGCCCCGGGGGGTTGGTGGTGACCATGCCCCACGTGTCCCTCGCAGCAGCCGTTCCCTCCGCTGGACATCCGCTGTACGGCAAAACGGCGTAAAATTCACGTCGCGGGCTGATTGTGTTCCCATTTACGTTTGTTTTTTCTCTGTAATCAAGCGTTTTTATTTTTTTTGTTTGAGATCGCCGGTTTTTTTTATTTATTATTTGATACACGCAGTGACCTTTTTCACGCGGATGCTTTCACAGCGTCTGCTTTGGTTTCTGTTCTCGGGAGAACATTGAGGTAATGCATAAAACAATTATGTTAATGTCCCCCCAACAACAACAGGAGAGCAGTATTGGAAGCCCCGGCGTTGCTTCAATTGCCAGCGGTACCGAGTCAGCCCGTTTCTGTTTGCTGCCGGGAATTGATCCATGTTCTGCGTTCCGAAGCGTGGCACTTTGATGAATTCTGGGGGCCTCTCAGAGAATTGAACTGCCAACTCCGCGCGTTCCGGCTCGGTGTACGTATGCCACCGTACGTAGCCAGCCACGCAAAGCTGACTGTTTATAATCATACTGTATGCAATGAACGATGACGATGATAGCACAATTATGGTAATGGTAGTTGATGATGATTATGAAATATATGGCCGTTAAATAGTGACTTCACACCCTATGGCCGTAACATAATAATCAGAATGCACGGTCCCTTCTCGTTCTGCTGCTGGACTAAGCCCTCGCTGTAACTGCGTCGGTCGCGGGAGGTGTTCGACGTTAGAGTTGCCGAGGACTGGTTCAAATATCACTCCCCACCAATCTGCATATATATAAAAAAGAGAAATTTGTGAATGTGTGTTCGAAATGTTTACCATACTTCCCGACATGCAACAAACTTGACATTTGGCATGTGGGTAGCCTCCAGACTGTACACAATGCAAAAATTATAATAATAGACTTTTGTATTTTAGGGGGGAGGGGGGGAGGGGGGGGGCGCAATAATGGATATATTTTGCACGGCAAAGTGAGCGGTGACGTCACGTACCAAATTGGCTGTGTCGGGTGGTGGTGAGTTGAACAACGCATTTGTATTCACACAATCTAACCCAAAAAAAAAAACCCTGTGTTACGGATGATATTGGTCGCGAAATGCCCGCGTGTTAAACTAAAACTGAACTTAAAAAAAAAAATTTCACCAAGCAAGGCACACTGAGCTATTTGGCTCTTTTTTTTCAGAAGTGACCAGGCCATAGATGATAGCTCAACGAAGAGGCTTATCGGAAATGTAAAACCGCGGCTTATAACACTCCAGAACGCGTGATGTCGGTTCTCAATGCGGGGGAGAAAGTCCACACGACCGCGGGTCCGAATCGAAACCCACGACCTCCTTTATACCAGGCGGGGCAGATCACATCTCGCCGGTGGGGCAGATCACATCTCGCCGGTGGGGCAGATCACATCTCGCCACCGCGGGGCAGATCACATCTCGCCGGCGGGGCAGATCACATCTCGCCGGCGGGGCAGATCAAATCTCGCCACCGCGGGGCAGATCACATCTCGCCGGCGGGGCAGATCACATCTCGCCGGCGGGGCAGATCACATCTCTTGCCGGCGGGGCAGATCACATCTCGCCACCGCGGGGCAGATCACATCTCGCCACCGCGGGGCAGATCACATCTCGCCGGCGGGGCAGATCACATCTCGCCGGTGGGGCAGATCACATCTCGCCACCGCGGCGCCCCCGTGTTTATGTGCGCACCAAACTTCTTCCGCGGCGTGCGCCGCCAAACCGCGCTGATCCGGGGTGCGGTGGAGTCTAAACGTTTAGGGCCCTGGCCGGGAATTGAACTGGGATCACCGGGGTTCGCCGCACAGTAGCGCCGACCGCCGTGTGCCACCGAGGTGGTGGAGGCGGGAGGTGGGGGGCGGGGGCGGCGGGGTGCCGGTGGGGAAGAGATGAAGGGCTCGACCATTAGCGGCCTCCGTGTTTGGATTGCGAGACGGGACGGGACCGGCCCGCGGGTTACGATCTTCTCTCGGCCCGTCGACGGCAGTGGTCTCACTTCCCTAACCGGTGCGTCTCACGTGGAGGGGGAAGGTGTTCGCGTCAGCGGGGCACGGAAATTCGGAACTGCTGCGATTTATCTTTGGGGCTCCGTGAGCTTCCCCCAACGGCTGCTACATATCTGCAGCGGGGGAATGTATCATCATATCATACATTGAGGGAAAAAAAGTATTTGATCCCCGGCTGATTTTGTACGTTTGCCCATTGACAAAGAAATGATGAGTTTATCATTTTAATGGTAGGTTTATTTGAACAGTGAGAGACAGAATAACAACAAGAAAATCCAGAAAAACGCATGTCAAAAATGTTATAAATTGATTTGCATTTTAATGAGAGAAATAAGTATTTGACCCCTCTGCAAAACATGACTTAGTACTTGGTGGCAAAACCCTTGTTGGCAATCACAGAGGTCAGACGTTTCTTGTAGTTGGCCACCAGGTTTGCACACATCTCAGGAGGGATTTTGTCCCACTCCTCTTTGCAGATCTTCTCCAAGTCATTAAGGTTTCGAGGCTGACGTTTGGCAACTCGAACCTTCAGCTCCCTCCACAGATTTTCTATGGGATTAAGGTCTGGAAACTGGCTAGGCCACTCCAGGACCTTAATGTGCTTCTTCTTGAGCCACTCCTTTGTTGCCTTGGCCGTGTGTTTTGGGCCATTGTCATGGTGGAATACCCTTCCACGACCCATTTTCAATGCCCTGGCTGAGGGAAGGAGGTTCCCACCCAAGATTTGACGGTACATGGCCCCGTCCATCGTCCCTTTGATGCGGTGAAGTTGTCCTGTCCCCTTAGCAGAAAAACACCCCCAAAGCATAATGTTTCCACCTCCATGTTTGACGGTGGGGATAGTGTTCTTGGGGTCATAGGCAGCATTCCTCCTGCTCCAAACACGGCGAGTTGAGTTGATGCCAAAGAGTTCCATTTTGGTCTCATCTGACCACAATACTTTCACCCAGTTGTCCTCTGAATCATTCAGATGTTAATTGGCAAGCTTCAGACGGGCATGTATATGTGCTTTCTTGAACAGGGGGACCTTGTGTGCGCTGCAGGATTTCAGTCCTTCACGGCGTAGTGTGTTACCAATTGTTTTCTTGGTGACTATGGTCCCAGCTGCCTTGATATCATTGACAAGATCCTCCCGTCTAGTTCTGGGCTGATTCCTCACCATTCTCATGATCATTGCAACTCCACGAGGTGAGATCTTGCATGGAGCCCCAGGCTGAGGGAGATTGACAGTTTTTTTGTGTTTCTTCCATTTGCGAATAATCGCACCAACTGTTGTCACCTTCTCACCAAGCTGCTTGGCAATGGTCTTGTAGCCCATTCCAGCCTTGTGTAGGTCTACAATCTTGTCCCTGACATCCTTGGAGAGCTCTTTGGTCTTGGCCATGGTGGAGAGTTTGGAATCTGATTGATTGATTGCTTCTGTGGACAGGTGTCTTTTATACAGGTAACAAGCTGAGATTAGGAGCACTCCCTTTAAGAGTGTGCTCATAATCTCAGCTCCTTACCTGCATAAAAGACACCTGGGAGCCAGAAATCTTTCTGATTGAGAGGGGGTCAAATACTTATTTCCCTCATTAAAATGAAAATCAATTTATAACATTTTTGACATGCGTTTTTATGGATTGTGTTGTTATTGTCTCTCACTGTTCAAATGAACCTACGATTAAAATTATAGACTGATCATTGCTTTGTCAGTGGGCAAACGTACAAAATCAGCAGGGGATCAAATACTTTTTTTCCCCTCGCTGCATATAAATATACATATATAAATAAATCATTATTGAAAAAAAAAATTTAGCCAGTAGAAGCGTTTCGTTTGATCTCGGCCACGTTTGCGGGGTGCACTGCGTCAGTTTGGCGGCTGCGTCTGTGCCATTTCGCCAACTCAAGCGCGTTGACATTCACCGCCATCATCGCCCCCCCCCCTTTTTGGAGGGGCGACCTGGTTTGACGTTAGCTCTGCAGTAGCGGCTCATTGATTGTCGTCGTCTTCGACGTTTTAGTTCGCGGGCAACGGTTGTGAGATCGCTCACTCGCTCGTTCATGTTATAAAAAAAAAATCTAGAACCCCAAAAACAAATGCAGACATCCGAGAGGGAAAATTACAAAACGAAACCTTTTATTTTTATTTTCACCAGGTAAGGCCCACTGAGCAATGTGGCTCTTTTTCAGAAGTGACCTGGCCACAAACGATAGCTCAACGAAGCGGCTTATCACGTGGACATTCATAGCAGCCAATTACTAATAAATGTGTGACGCCAAATCTAAATGTAGAGGGGGAAAACAGGAGGACCTGGAGAAAAATCCATGTGACCACGAATAGAGAGAGAGAGAGACACGCAAACTTCAAATATACAGCAGGCGTCAGGGATGGGGATCGAACCCACGACCTCCTGCATACCAGGCGAGGTAGTTAACATCCCCTAGCCACCGTGATGATGATGAGAGAGAGAGACACGCCAACTCCAAATATACAGCAGCAGGCGTCATGGTCGGGGATCAAACCCACGACCTCCTGCACACCAGGCGAGGTAGTTAACATCTAGCCACCGTGATGATGAGAGAGAGAGAGACACGCAAACTCCAAATATACAGCAGGCATCAGGGTCGGGGATCGAACCCACGACCTCCTGCACACCAGGCGAGGTAGTTAACATCTCCTAGCCACCGCTGCGCCCAAACTCAGCTCACGATCGCATAACCATCTGCACCGATATTCCCGCAAATAGAGGGCTTACTGGTAGCACTTTGGGCTCACTGCCCTCTTAACCCACCGTAGCGGCAACGATCTCGAACAGCAGATTTGCAGGGGAGGGGGAATAGAGGGGATGAAGGGGGGCGCAGGGGAGTTGGGTGGAGTTCACTTATTTATAATCATTCCTCTCCCGGTCGATAATATTTAAACCGCTGATGGTGGTGGGGGGGGGGGGGGGTTTGGCGCTCAACGGCAGTTGTGAGGATGGCTCCTGCCGTAGCGAATTTTTGCAGAGTTTCTCAACCTATTTTGCGGCTTTTGAAATGCCACGGCGATTTTGTTTTTCCCCCCCCCCACTTCGAATTTTTTTTTTTTTTAACGTCGCGCATTTTACAGCGGGGGGACACCGTCGGCCTCGGTCGGCCTCGGTCGGCCTCGGCTCGGGAGGTTAAATGATGCGAGACGGAAATCGAGCTCTGCGCTTGCCCGTCTGCCGCCGCTGCTGCCGCCACCGCTACATGCTCACATTTATTTGCTTTCCGCGAATGTCATTTCACAGACCCTCGCTTCCATTTTCGCGACCCGTGCAGCTCGCGAAAAAAAATTAAACGGCCCCCCCCCCCCCCCCACCGCGCGAAGCCGTTTTAGAAGTTTTCCGACGGACGGGCGTTCCACCCGGCACCGTAACGCTGCCGCCGCCAACCACCGCTTCCGCACCCCCCGAGAAACGGATCAGAATTCAACAGCCGACACCTCCCCCCACCCACCCACCCCCCCCCCCTCCCACCTCCTCCCCCCGAGTCTTCGCGTCGAAGTTTAAAAAACGGGCGGGTGCCAAGAGAGCGATTTATTTGCTTTCCTTTTCCCGACCTCATCCAGGGCCCGGCGTTCCGTCGTTGGCGGTTGTTTAAAATGGGATTCGACGCTTCCCCCCCCCCCCCCCCCCCCCCCGGGGGAGTTTGGCGCGTGCCTACCGCCGACGCGAACCGCCGGCGCTTCGAGCGGCTCATTAGCCGCGTTGAAGCTCCTCGGTCACACCTCCTCGTGCGATCGGAGACCACGGCGAGAGATGGCGGGGTGCGGTGGGGGAGGGGGCGGGGGGAATGGTGTTGGTGGTGGTGGTGGGGAGGCGTTGACATGAAAATGAGCCGAGTTATCGGTGCCGGCATCGCTGGCTCCCCTGGGGTCCGGCGCCAACGGCGGCTCGGCTCGGCTCGGCTCGGCTCGTCCTCGCTGGGCCGTGCCGGGTTCATGCGCGCACGCAGTAGAACCTCGAGTTTGCCGATCCTCCAGCGCTGGAATAGGGTGCTGCGGTAGCGAGATGTTCGTGACCGTGTGACCCTCTGCAGAGCCTCTGTTCCAACGCCAAAGAATTCACCGTGTGAATGTTTTTTTTTTAATCAGGCACTTCTTTGGGCGGAACGCGTTCGTTTTGTTTATAGGTGCCACAGTTGGCGAGATGTTAACTACCTCGCCCGGTATACGGGAGGTCGTGGGATCGATCCTGACCCTGACGATGCCTGCTGCTGTATATTTGGAGTTTGCGTGTCTCTCTCACATAGTGGTGAGATGTTAACTATCTCGCCTGGTATACGGGAGGTCGTGGGATCGATCCCGACCCTGACGATGCCTGCTGCTGTATATTTGGAGTTTGCGTGTCTCTCTCTCTCTCTCTCGCCCGGGGTCGCGTGGATTTGTTGGTTCTACGAACCCACGCAGTGCCGATCGTGCGAGTGTTCATCCCCATTTTGTGCGTGCTGGTTTTTCTGCAGCCACGCTGGGTTGCTGCCGCGAAAAAAAAAATTGGTCAAACATTCAAATCCGCGAACCTCTCCAAATGTGAGGATTTGAGACGCGCCAAGACTTTACCGGGTTCATAAAATTACCTTATCGGCCGTCATTGTTTCCTGCGGCATTCCAGTGAGAAAATGCAGACCGCTGTCACGACGTTTTTTTTGTTTGTGATCGAACACGAGGCTCGTGTGTGTGTGTGTACGCGCGGTCGGGGAAAACGTGACTCGTTTCGTCACGACGTCCGGGTGTCCCGCGAGCATCCATTTTTGTTGTCGCCCACTTGATTCAAAGTCACTCTTTGGCCTCCGTGTCTGTTCACCGAAGCCACGGAGGCGGAGCTGCGTCCAGGCCTTGACGGCGCGTGGTTTACACCTTGGGGTAGGCCAGAGGGGGTGATGCAGAGGGTCCAGTTGTTAGCCCAGACCTTGGGCTAACAACAGGACCCTCTGCATCACCCAGACCTTGGGCCAACATCTTGTTAGCCCGGACCTTGGGCCGTGGCAATGCTGCACTCAAGCTGGATGCTGGGATCGATGGGCTCACGGTTATCTGGGACGGAGTGTCCGGCTTTGTCGCCGATGCGAGAGTGGTCAGTGATGCCGGTGGTGATGTACGTGGTCGCAGTTTTCGCAAAATTGATTTGATTTTTTTGTTACTTTTTTTGGGTTAAGGCCACGTAAAATCACGCGGTCGAGAAGCCTCCACCAAAGCTGACACGGCCTAAAGGAATGACGCCGTCGCCGCGCGTGCGTTGCGTTCTTGACGCCGCGTCGTCGTTAGGACAACGCTGGCGACCGAAACATGAAGGAAAAAAAAACGCCTCGCTCGTGACCCAAACATCTCGCACCCCTGCTGCCTTGACAATTCCTCCTCGATAGGGCCCCGGCGGTTGTAAGCATTGAACCAGCGTCAGAACATCAACAGGCCGATGCGCACAATCTCCTTCAGAGATGGAGACCCAAAGGCGAGCCGCCCAGCGGGCGTTGACTGAGCTCCAAAACTGTGGGCCGCACGGTAAACCGCTGTGGATCTTGCGCTCCTTCACACGGAGGAGGAAGAGCACAAACTACACGGACTCTCTCCTGCCTCTCTCTCGCTCTCTCGCTCTCTCCCCGCCCCCCGCGACGCTCCCTCGTCGTGGCCATCAGACCTCGGCGTTGGCATCGCAGTTCCCGCCACGGATGCGCACGGACGTGATCGTGGCCGGGAGTTTGCCTCCCGCCCCGCGTCAGGAGCGACGTCTCGGTCTCGGACACGGCAGCGGACGTCCCCCCCCGGCGCGGATCGCCAACCGATGACGCCGCGCGGTTGCAGGTCGCAAGTCAATTCTCCCGATGGAGCGCCCGTCAGGAATTCTGGAGTTCAGGTCGGAGGAGGTCACCGAGCGGCGGGGCGCCCTTCATGCCGCCCGCGGACAGCCGCGCGATTACCGCGCACGTCAAATGCCGCAGGTGTTTGCGTCGCCCATCGATCAACTTGGGGGTGCCTCTCGCTCGCCCGCTTTCTCATCGGCGCCCTTGTTGGCTTTAGTCTCTCCGCTGGGTCCGGCGAGCCCCTGCGCCAAACTCCCGTAACCCTTTCACCCTCCTCCGTCCTGCGCGCACGTTCGGCCGGAGCTCTACACTGACTGCTGCAGCTTGAGAGAGAGAGAGAGGGAGAATTAAAGTTGACGAGAGATGAAGTTGACGAGAGATAAAGTTGACGAGAGAGATAAAGTGACGAGAGAGATAAAGTGATGAGATATAAAGTGGTGAGAGATAAAGTGATGAGAGATAAAGTGACGAGAGATAAAGTGACGAGAGATAAAGTGATGAGAGATAAAGTGATGAGAGATAAAGTGACGAGAGATAAAGTGACGAGAGATAAAGTGACGAGAGATAAAGTGACGAGAGATAAAGTGACGAGAGATAAAGTGACGAGCGATAAAGTGACGAGAGATAAAGTGACGAGAGATAAAGTGATGAGAGATAAAGTGACGAGAGATAAAGTGACGAGATATAAAGTGACGAGAGATAAAGTGACGAGAGATAAAGTGATGAGAGATAAAGTGATGAGAGATAAAGTGACGAGAGATAAAGTGACGAGAGATAAAGTGATGAGAGTTAAAGTGACGAGAGATAAAGTGACGAGAGATAAAGTGACGAGAGATAAAGTGATGAGAGATAAAGTGATGAGAGAGAAAGTGATGAGAGATAAAGTGACGAGAGATAAAGTGACGAGAGATAAAGCTACGAGAGATAAAGTGACGAGAGATAAAGTGACGAGAGATAATGTGATGAGAGATAAAGTGACGAGAGATAAAGTGATGAGAGATAAAGTGATGAGAGATAAAGTGACGAGAGATAAAGTGACGAGAGAGATAAAGTGATGAGAGATAAAGTGATGAGAGATAAAGTGACGAGAGATAAAGTGACGAGAGATAAAGTGACGAGAGATAAAGTGACGAGAGATAAAGTGACGAGAGATAAAGTGACGAGAGATACAGTGACGAGAGATACAGTGACGAGAGATAAAGTGATGAGAGATAAAGTGACGAGAGATAAAGTGACGAGAGATAAAGTGACGAGAGAGATAAAGTGATGAGAGATAAAGTGATGAGAGATAAAGTGATGAGAGATAAAGTGACGAGAGATAAAGTGACGAGAGAGATAAAGTGATGAGAGATAAAGTGACGAGAGATAAAGTGACGAGAGATAGTGACGAGAGATAAAGTGACGAGAGATAAAGTGACGAGAGATAAAGTGACGAGAGATAAAGTGACGAGAGATAAAGTGACGAGAGAGATAAAGTGATGAGAGATAAAGTGATGAGAGATAAAGTGATGAGAGATAAAGTGATGAGCGATAAAGTGACGAGAGATAAAGTGATGAGAGATAAAGTGGTGAGAGATAAAGTGACGAGAGATAAAGTGACGAGAGATAAAGTGACGAGAGATAAAGTGACGAGAGATAAAGTGATGAGAGAGATAAAGTGACGAGAGATAAAGTGATGAGAGATAAAGTGATGAGAGATAAAGTGACGAGAGATAAAGTGACGAGAGATAAAGTGACGAGAGAGATAAAGTGATGAGAGATAAAGTGACGAGAGATAAAGTGACGAGAGATAAAGTGACGAGAGATAAATTGACGAGAGATAAAGTGATGAGAGATAAAGTGACGAGAGATAAAGTGACGAGAGATAAAGTGACGAGAGATAAAGTGACGAGAGATAAAGTGACGAGAGATAAAGTGACGAGAGAGATAAAGTGATGAGAGATAAAGTGATGAGAGATAAAGTGATGAGAGATAAAGTGATGAGCGATAAAGTGACGAGAGATAAAGTGATGAGAGATAAAGTGGTGAGAGATAAAGTGACGAGAGATAAAGTGACGAGAGATAAAGTGATGAGAGAGATAAAGTGACGAGAGATAAAGTGATGAGAGATAAAGTGACGAGAGATAAAGTGACGAGAGATAAAGTGACGAGAGATACAGTGACGAGAGATACAGTGACGAGAGATAAAGTGATGAGATCTAAAGTTTACTTAATTATTAAAGGTAATGTATTAAAGATAATGGTTTTCCTACGCCAATATCATTCCCCGCGAGATTTGCCATTCACGAGCGTCTCCTGAACTTATCCGCCACGAACATCGAGGCAACACTGATCAACAGTTCAACAACTCGTAGGCTTTCGCGACCAATATCATCCACAATATACGTTGTTTTTGTTGGGTTAGATCACGTAAACATGTAAGTGTTGTGTCATTAAACCCGCAAGCACCCGGCACGGACAATTAGTAAGGTTTGTCACGTGAACAGAACGTGGCCAATTACTTACTAGTACAGCACAGCGGTGTTTTGGAGATTAAACCCCCACTACAAAATTTTCAATTCGAGTGCCGTGACATTCCGCCGGTAATCGCATCAACAACATCAACAACCGGCGTCATCAGGCGTCAGCCAGAGTTGTGGAGAAATCCTCCTGTTTCAGCCTAGCGCGCCGGTTGGCTACGTACGGCATACATGCACATGCGCATGCGAAACGTGTTGGAGAGCAAATCCACGACAATTCGCTGAGCGGCACTTCTGCTGCCGTGGCCCATCCTGAGCTTTTTTGGTAACCCCCGGCGCCGAGATTATTAAATTTCCGAGCACCTCGCCGGGGGAGCCCCCTGATTGCCTTCTCTCTCAATTCGCTTGGCAAACGACGCGAATTGAAGTCGCGCGGCGGTTTAGAGCGCTGGCGAACGACGCCGCTGCGGTCGGCGTGGTTTTAAAAGGCGGGGGTAGAATCGGCGGCGGTGGTGGCGGCGGTGGTGGCGGTGGTGGTGGTGGCGGCGGTGGTGGTGGCGGTGGTGGTGGCGGCGGTGGTGGCGGCCCGTTCTTCGTAGCGCGTCAGCGGCACGCTACGCTTCTCTGCGGCGAGCGACGGCGTCTTCGTGAAAACCTCGGCGGGCAAGCTAAAACGACGGCCGTGCGAATCGGCCGGCGCAGATTGCCCCGGTTGCTGTTGCGTGCCTGCGTGGGGAACGCGTCTCCAGGCAGTGGTGCGGCCTGAGAACCGTCAGGTGCGTGTGCGTGTGTGCGCGTGTGTGTGTGCGTGTGTGCGTGTGTGCGCGCGTGTGTGTGCGTGTGTGTGTGCGCGTGTGTGTGCGTGTGTGTTCTGCGTGTGTGTGTGCGTGTGTGTGCGTGTGTGTGTGTGTGTGTGCGTGTGTGTGTGTGTGTGCGTGTGTGTGTGTGTGTGCGTGTGTGTGTGTGTGTGCGTGTGTGTGTGTGCGCGTGTGTGCGCTGTCGGTACAGTGGGCGGCACAGGTGGTGCATCGGCCAGTCATGTCAGTCAGTCGAACCGCGGCACCTGCCGGGTCTGCCCCGTGACCTCCTGCCGGCGGACGTTCGAAGCTTCACGTGGCCTCGGCGTGCACCCGGCCTGGCACGAGCGCCGTGGCGACGTCACCGCCACTTAGTGACGAACGGCGGTTGTTGTTGTTGTTGTTGATGTTGTTGATGTTGCTGTTGTGTACGCGTGCGGGGAGCGGTGGCATAGCGGTGAGCGCGCACCGCGCTACGGGCACGGCGGTCCGAGTTCGATTCCATCGCGCAGGGCCACCGACACCGTTGGCGATTTTGCTGAACCGGCCCTGGGGCCTCCTCTTGGTCGACTCGGCCTCAAATGAGTACCCGGTCCAGCGTGTATACGTTGCCACGCGGGAGACAGAGGCGTCTTGACGTGGTGCTTTTCACACGACCACCGCGGCCGGCTGTGATGGCCATTCCTAGGCGCTTCGCCTAGAAGTTCTCGTCCGCTGAACTTCTTTGGCACCGTGCGTAGCCAACCGTGGCCAAGCGGAGGTGCGTGGGGAGCGGGCAGCAAACGCAAGAAGCAGTTCTAAAGAAAGCGATCCATAATAGAGGTTGTTTGGGGGGTTTGATCGTGTGAATGTATAAATATATGAATGTTGTGTCGTCAAAACCCGCCGCCACCTGACACAGCCAACTAGTGAGGGTTGTCACGTAAACAGAACGTGGCCAGTTCGTCACTAGTACAGCACTAGTGTGTAGTGTAGTGTATAGTGTAGTGTATAGTGTAGTGCATAGTGTAGTAGTGTATAGTGTAGTGTATAGTGTAGTAGTGTATAGTGTAGTGTATTGTGTATCGTGTAGTGTATAGTGTAGTAGTGTATAGTAGTGTATAGTGTAGTGTATAGTAGTGTATGGTGTAGTGTATAGTAGTGTGTAGTGTGGTATTTAGTAGTGTATAGTGTAGTGTTTAGTAGTGTATAGTGTAGTGTATAGTAGTGCATAGCGTAGTGTATAGTGTGTATAGTGTAGTGTATAGTGTAGTGTATAGTAGTGTATAGTGTAGTGTATATTGTAGTGTACATTGTAGTGTATAGTAGTGTATAGTGTAGTGTATAGTAGTGTATAGTGTAGTGTATAGTAATGTATAGTGTAGTGTGTAGTGTATAGTGTATAGTGTAGTGTATAGTAGTGTATAGTGTAGTGTATTGTAGTGTATAGTGTAGTGTACAGTGTAGTGCATAGTGTAGTGCATAGTGTAGTGTATAGTAGTATATAGTTTACTAGTGTATAGTTGTAGTGTATAGTGTAGTGTATAGTATAGTATACTAGTACAGCACCACACCGGTGTGTTGGAGAGCCAAGCCACAACATTAACAAACTGAGTAACGACGTTTCGCCAGTAATTACAACCAGCTTCTTCAGGCGACAGCCAGACTTGCGACAACCCTTACTAGTCGGCTGTGTCGGGTGGCGGCGGCGGCTTTTGACGTCGCATTTATATATTTACGCGATTTAACCCCCCAAAAAAATAAACCTCTGTTACGGATGATATTCTAGATTTGAAGCTTTCGTGGCTGCAAGGATCCGTACTCTTTGGTTCTATCCGGTAAAGTCACGTAGGTTTTATTTTTTACCTACGTGACTTTACCGAATAGAACCAAAGAGTATGGATGATATTGGGTCGCGAAGGCCTCCTGCGTGTTCAACTAAAAAAAGTGAGTTCGCAATCTAGACGATGATTTAAACAGCGCAGAGCTCCCAGTCGCTTACTAATATCGAAAGGAGCTCTTGACCCAAAAAGTGCCTTAGGGGCTATACAGGTGGGGGTGGGGGGGGGGGAGGGGGGGTTTGAGGGATCTTTGTCTTTGTGCGAGGAAGCT